CCCCCCGGCCCACCTGCACTTGTGGCAACTGCGGACGAGGTCATCCTGCTGCACGCGGTCAGTCAGGAACTGCGGCCGGCAGAGGGGCAGGCGGATCCTGGACAGGAGCTCCGGCAAGCAGGCCTCCCGCTGTTCCCGGTCGTACCTGACCCAGGCCAGGGCGGCTTCGTAGACCTGGCGGGAGGAGAGAGAGAGAGAGTGAAGGCGGGAGGCTCAGCATCCAGGTGAGCCGCTTCCCCTACAGGTAATGCCCGGCGCAGGTCACAACGGGCCCCTTCCGCCAGCCCCCCCCCAGGTTTGATCTCAGTACAGGTGGTTCTCGACTTATGACCACAATTCAGACCAAATATGTATGTCGCTCGGGGAAACATCGGGTTAAGTGGGGTTTCCTCCCCCATTTTTAACGCACAAAGGCGTTGTTAAGTGAACAACCTCTGTTGTTAAGCGAGCCTGGCTTCCCTGTTGACTTTGCTGGTCAGAAGGTCGCAAAAGGGCATTACGTGACACTGCAACCGTCGTAAATATGAACCAGTGGCCAAGCGTCAGAATGTAAATCACGCGACTGTAGCGGCGCTGCAACGGTCGTAAGTGTGAAACATGGTCGTAACGTTTTTTTCAGCGCCAGGGTAACGTTGGTCACTGAACTCTTGTTAAGTCCAGCAGATGACCTCCTCTATGGCACTTATGCCTCTTCTTGGTTTTGTTGTAAAACACAGGTAGTCTTCGACTTACAACGGTCCATTTAGTGACCGTTCAAAGTTACAACAACACTGAAAGAATTTACAATGGTCGTGTTCCTCACACTTATGACCGTTGCAGCATGCCCCCTGGTCACACGATCCACATTCAGCAATCAAAATTGTCCTCTTGATAGCTGACTCGTATTTATGATGGTTGCCGCATCCTGGGTCGCCTGGTCCCCTTTGGGGACTGACTGCAAAGCAGCCTCAATGGGGAAGCTAGATTCACTTTACAACAATGTGATTCACTTAACAACTGCTGTGGTTTACTTAACAACCATGGAAAGAAAGGTTGCAAAACGGGGCAATGATCAATGGCAATCTGGGGCTCAATTAAGGTGGAGGGCAAACCTGGTCATAAGTCACCATTTTAAGCCACCGTCGTAACTTTGAATAGTTGTTAAACAAATCAGCATTAAGCCAAGAACTACCTATATGGAATAATAGGGTGTGAATAATTGAACTTGCACGAAATTTACCCTTTCGTATCCACGGAGTGTGTCCAAGTAGTCCTTGACTTATGACCATTCGCTTAGTGGGCATTTGAAGTTATGATGGCACTGAGAAAAGGGACATGACCGTTTTTCGCATTGCAACATTCCCCACGGTCACATGATCAAAATTCAGATGCTTGGAAACTGGCATGTACTTATGACAGTTACATGGGATCAAGCATTTGCAATTTTCCTGGCTGGCATCCGACAAGCAATGCGACCAAACGGGGCACCCTGCAACGCAGCGATTTGCTTAACAAATGAGGGGAAAAAAGCTTGTAAAACCAGGGAGAGCTCGTTACTAAACGGGGCGCTGCTCACTTTGCAACTGCCTCGCTTAGCAACAGAGTTTTGGGCCATACGCTGAGGACTACCTGCATTTTCTACCTTGCCTTAAAGATGTCCAGCATTGTCGAGTTGTTGTTTTTTTCCCCTTTCCTTTCCTTGTGCCTATAATTAATTATTGCACAACACACCTTGGGTCTTCCTCAGTTGCGGGTTCTTGTGTGGACTTTTGTCAAGCTCCCGCCGCAGCTGGGCAGGATGAAGGATGAAGGAACCCCACCGATTACAGGAAATTCCCTTTTTTCCTTTGGGCCTGGGATTTTGGAAACCAGCATCTTGGAAAGCGCGCAAGAGGAATTTCCCGGACAGATTTATAATCTGCTAACGGCATTAAAAATGTGTTTTGAATTCCTCCTCCTCTGGTTTCCCACCATCTGGACTTCATGCAGTCAAAGAGGAAACCAGTTCCTCTCCGGTTTCTCGTTGGTTCCTGTCTGCTCTCCCTCCCCTTCTTTTCTCCTGATTTCTCACAAACCCAGGGAGTCCTCGGCTTACGGCCTCAATGGAGCCCGGCGTTTCCCTTGCTGAGCAGAGCAATTCGTTGGGTGGATTTTCGCCCCGTTTGACAACTTCTCCCGCCACACTTAAAGGGAATTGCGTTGAGTTAGCACCACACGACCGTTAAGTGAATCCAGCTTCCCCCATCGACAGCGCCCCCCCCCGGGGGAACCACGCGGCCCCTGGGGACACGGCGGCCGACATAAATACGAGTCAGTTGCCAAGCACCTGCCTTTTTGATGGTGCGAGAAGGGGATGTGTCGCAAGTGTGAAAAATGGTCGTAAGTCACTTTTTTCAGTGCCGTTGTTACTTCGAATGGCCACTGAATGAATGGTTGTAAGTCAAGGAGTATCTATAGTTACCTTCCTTGTATAGTTCAGGGGTCTCCAACCTTGGCCACTTTAAGATTTGTGGACTTCAACTCCCAGAATTCCTCAGCCAGCAAAGCTGACTGAGGAATTCTGGGAGTTGAAGTCCACACTGGCTAGAAAATTCTGGGAGTTGAAGTCCACGCTGGCTGAGGAATT